GATATATGACCGAAACTTAACGCTACGAGCGTCGGTACTGTTTACAAATCATGCCGGCGTCACTGATCGTAACTATACCGTGTCCAATCAATATTCTGCTTGTCTATACTCGAACTTCCGATTCGTAATTATTCGAGTTTAATTGCTTCGGGTTCACTTCGTGTCTATTTTTTTTCATTTATTTTACATACTGAGCGTTGGTAGAACCACTGCGAGAGCCCTTAGAATGAGGAGGAATTTTTTTTCCATAAATACTTTGCTACTTCCACCCTGATATACTTTTGGGTTGAGGTTCTATCTCACAGTGAATACGAGTAGATGTTGAACGCAAGAAAGAGTAACGTAAGGCGGAAGGTAAACATTGTATTGATTCCTGGCGTCGAAGCCTGTATTATGCGACTCCATATAGGCGGGGTCTCGTGACGGCATGGATCTCACCCGCACCGTGGTCTCTCGATCGGCGTGGGGGAGCGGCGAATAATGATCAAGTAAATGGCGGCGCGCGGATAAACCTGCTGCGCCGATTCTCACACTATAGATGTTTTTTAACGAAACGAATCGTTCAGTACGACCTAATCTGCTCGATACACTGGTCGCACGTTTTCGTGGCGAGCAACCATTTCACCAAATTAGCCACGCTTTGCGCTCAGGCATATGTAAAGTGGTTGTGGTTAGTAAAACCGTGTGAATATCCGTTAGATTTGGCAAGCCGAAATTGGGGTTCTGCATGATGGAAGAGAAGCCATGCATGGCCCGTCGTCCCAGTTCCTAATGGGAGGAAATGCAATTTCCCCTGACGTCACAAGAGCCGCGGTCCCGCGGACACGCCCGCAAATGCAAAACTTGTTTATAATTTTCCCTCTAGACAGACGCCACACATCTCGTCTGACCGAGCACCTGTTTTACGAGGTTGATTCTTGACGACTCCATTTCGTTTTCCAAAAAATGTTCAATATTGGTGTACAGGTGTAGGTAGTAGTAATCTAGTTAATATAGGCGATTATCATTGATTGTCGGTGTGACTGGTTAAATGCACTACGATTTGACGGATCATTCGAGTTCGGAAAAGTCTAAACGCGCCGTACTGATGCGTTGCTATAAAGAGTTATTCTCACATGTTTCTTATTAACTGTACAGTAATTGACCTTCTGTGGCTTAATATAAATGGCAGTGACGGGAGCCGCCGACCATTCGAGTTCTGAAAAGTCTAAACCGGTCTTACTGATGCGTTGCTATAAAGAGTTATTCTCACATGTGGTCTTATTAACTGTACAGTAACTGATCTTCTGTGGCTTAATATAAATGGCAGTGACGGGAGCCGCCGCTTCTGATTTTCTTCGGAAGCAGGGCTTGGCGTAGGTACATCAGATGACGTCGTGTCGACCATGGTGACTACAACTCTATATTGGCAGTATATAAGTCGCATTGCCGAGTCGGGGATTACAGCCTACATTAGCTCTAGTACTGTAGTGTAAGCGGCCCACCCCCCCGTGGTTAGCACCCCGGCCGGTTGCACCCGAAGCGCATTGCTGAGTCGGTGGTTACAGCCTACATGTGACTCTCGCTATAGAGATCGTATTATACATATATTATACATATGTATAATGGGATCTCTCGCCCTCCTAATAAAGTCAGCCGCTCACATAATGCGAGTATCCCGGCTTGTGTCGCGTTGCTAGTATAGTAGTATAGTAGCTGTTAGCTGCTAGTAGACTGCTAGTAGTTGCTAGTAGTCGCGCTGCTATAGTAGTTCTATTTCTATGCTCGCCTGATTACTGCGGCAGGCGTTCGTTAGTGCTTGTCATGCCAATAAAAGCAGATACCCTCACGACAAATCTGGCCCACATGGATTATGTGTTTTGAGCGCGTACGCGCGTGTATGTGCGTGGCGTGCGTACGCGCGCGCGCGCGGTGTGCGATAGATCGTACGTGTGTGTGTGTGTGTGTGTGTGTGTGTGTGTGTGTGTGTGTGTGTGTGTGTGTTCGTTCGTGCGTGCGTGTGTATGCGTGCGTGTGTACATGATTGCGTTATGCGATCTGACAGTGATCATTATCTATTTCGTTCAATAACCGCGGAGGCAGTTCATGCGTGGTGGAACGGGCAAGGGCACGAAGACAATTTATCAGTGAAAGTTCTATGCGATTAGACGGACTCCATATGGGTGCTCATGCAGAATACGCAGGAGAGCAACACTTTAGTGTCTACTTCTTTCTCTAACTGGAAAAATTCTACACAACACTCTACAGATGACTCCGAATTTGGTATGTTAGGGCCTCTTCATCCAACTACACATTTCTACTTTAACTACAGATCCACTGGCCGTATACAGTCGCAACATCGTTCGCACACATTGAGATAACATCAAGACATGTTATAGAAGAAAGTAGGGGTAACCATTGCGCGAAAACCTGCAAGAACAATTAATATACAAAATAATAACATATGTTGTAACAGCTACTTCTGTTCGAGGGATATGGAGCGAACATCCACTTACCGCTGATGTGAACTCCATACTGCACGATTTGAGCGGAATGAAGAGTGTGACGGAGGGTCTGAGTTGTACTTCCTCGACTCACTCGTCACCTCACATTCAGGTCCAGTTCGGGTAGCAGTCTGGATCATTCCAGTGAAGTCCTGTCACCAAAGTGCCACCTCACCGTCATGTGTTCATCTACCAGGCTGCAAGGAGCCAGTGATGCCTAACAAACGATAGATGTCTGGTCAATACATGCGATGATATAGCTGTGTCTGTTCGAGATGTTATGACTAGTTCGTGGAATAATAGCATATAATATGTCATTCATCACACACACACACACACACACACACTCACACACACACACACACACACACACACACACACACACACACACACACAGCACACCACACACAACACACACACACACACACACACACACAACACACACACACACACACACAACACGACACACACACACACACACACACACACACATCACACGCGCCGGCCTTGCGGGGAGATTTGCCAATATTACACATAAAAATGGAAGCGATGCTGCTGGCATACCTGAAGGTGCAAATTCTTGCAAATTTTTCAAATGAAAAATTATTGTAATTTTATTTTTTGTCGAGGTGGGGCGGTACGTGCGGCCTAGTATATATATTATATATATATAATATATGTCGTGTTGATGTGTGTGTGTGTCGGTTGTGTGTGTGTGCTGTGTGTGCTGTGTGTGTGTGTGGTGTTGGTGTGTGTGTGTAGTGTAATGCGATGCGTGCGTGCGCGGCGCTGTGCCGATGCGTGTGTGTGTGTGTGTGTGTGTGTGTGTGTGTGTGTGTGTGTCGCGACCGGCCTGCCAGAGATCTCGTGTGTGTGTGTGTGTGTGTGTGTGTGTGTGTGTGTGGTTGTGTTGTGGCTCGTGTTGTTGGTGGTGGGTGTTGGTTGTTGTGGTTGTCTGTGTGTGCTGTGCTGTGTGTGTGGTGTGTGTGTGGTGTGTGTGTGTGTGTGTGTGTGTGTGTGTGTGTGTGGGTGGTTTGTGTGTGTGTGTGTTGTGTGTGTGTGTGTGTGCATGTGTGTGTGTGTGTGTGTGTGTGTGTGTGTGTGTGTGTGTGTGTGTGTGTGTGTGTGTGTGTGTGTGTGTGTGTGTGTGTGTGAAGCCGTCCCTATTCCATTTTACTACACGCTATGATAACATATAATTAACATGATTCGATATAATTGCTATATATCTATATAGAGCTATATAGAGCTGTTATCACAAACGTTTTAGTAGCAATATCAGTCTTGGATGTAGTTTGTCTATTTATAATAATAGCAAGTCTAGTAATCATTGTCGTAAAACCGTGATGTTATTCACACCGATTCCTTGAATCCCAACTCGGATAGAATTAACGGCTAGTCTAGCTGACTCCAGTGTCCCTGTAGACGAGCCGATATATGAGCCTTCTAATTATAACCGCTATCTATCAACACACCCATTACTTCGACCACGTCCTCCTTGATGGTCGCCGGGAGTGCGTGGATGTCATAAGCGACACTGCTAACTCCCCGTTCGTTGATTCTCGGCTGAAACCCGCGATCGCGCGTTGGGCGTCTGCCAGAGCGATGCCGTCGTGCTGGAGCGGAAACCCCGCCAGGCTCAGTTCCTACTGTGAACGAAACGCTGCCGCCATGCGTCCCGCGCCGTGAGTCAAACGCAGCTCGGTGTGATTCCGCGGGGAGTAAGCTCGCGATGTCAATGTTTCCCGCGTCCTCCGTGCGCTCGTAGTAGGGCTGCAGCCCGTCGATAGCAGCCTGTGCTCGAACCTAACCAAAATCCGTTTTACGAAATTTTATTATTGCTGTCTGCTCTGTCTGACTGTCTCACCGACTAACTGGCTGATTGATGGACCGACTGCTGTATAGGTTATCATCAGTTGTGGTTACGGGGAGAAGTCCTATTTTTAAGGATAACAACAAGAGCTAATAATACCGTAATAAGAGGTATTATTAGCTCTTGATAACAAAGACAAAAACAGAAGAGGCGAGCTAGACCGCGAATGTAGAAGTAGATTCCGATACGCGAACAAACGCACAGCGGAGACTGTCTAAGTATAGTGTAGAAGCCTAGATGACTTACCGTTGCTGCGCATAACACCATCAAAGTCGTTATATAAATCATGGTACCAAGCGCCATTCTGCGTTCATATGATAGACACTGAGCAATGTTCTTCGGGAACGTCGGGATACCAGATACTACCGAATTTGCCAATGACTGGCGACTCTTCACACAATGAGTAGAGAACTCCGAAATAAACGTGATACATGGGCGAATACGTGCCAGCAACTGTTCAAAATTACTCGACACGTAAAGCGAGAGTTTTTTTCTTCAGACGCGGCGTATCAACGCAGACATTATAACGAGAAATATGCGGAAGTTTTATTCCCTTTCGATTCTTAGATTTGTATCTTTCCGTTGAACAATGCGCGACACAGGGCATACGGGTGAATGCCATGACGCAGCATTCATTTCCGCCCTTATCCACCACGGGCGCGATCTGATAAAGAAATCCGATGCTATCTCACGTAGTTTTCGGTGCACCGATGTTTCGCGTGGGTAGGTTTGAAGAGCATGCGTGAGTGCATGGTAAAATGCCGGAACCGATGTGAAGTGGATGGTGATGTGCGCGTGAGGCATATGAAAGTGAAAAGATTTGTGCGAGCGGGTGTATTGAGAAAACGTAACATTAGTCGTAACATTTACTTTCTCTCGTAGACCGCATCTCTATATACGACGTATAGGGTCTATTAGAAATAGCGTAAGATTACAATGTTCTGTGAGAAAAATCTATTGTTACCACGCAGGACTATTTTTATTTTTGACAAAGGGACTCTTCCTCTCTTCCAAAGGGGATTTTTCCTCTGGAATGCCTTCATATTATTGTATGTGCACGCACGCGTGTACGTACGCGCATGCGTGTACGTGCGCGCATGCACGTATACGCACGCACGCGTATATGTGCGCGCACGCGTGTACGTACACGCATGCGCGCATATACACACATGCGCGCACGTACACGCGTGCGCGCACATATACGCGTGTGTGCATATACGCGCATACGCGCACGTACACGCATGCGCGCACTTACACGCGTGCGTGCACATACACGCGTGAGCCACGCCTGCAAACCTGAGGAACCGCGGAGCTGATTATAGCTTGCAAGAAATCACGTTTGCACGTAGAACGATCGACGCGGAAATTGTAACTGATGGCCATCATAACCATAGAAAAATAAATTAATTACATTTCCTGTATTTTTATCTGTCTAACATTATGTTAATTGGATTTACCAAACGAGTCTGTAAACCTGTTTCTGGAGATTATATCTAAAAAAAGGTGCAGCTAATATCAGTGGGGGAGTATAATTACCTTAATACGAATTAATAATACCTTAATTCGTATAATGCCAACTACTAACGCGGGCGCGTATCTGTGAGCCTGAGCGTGTGCGTGCGTGCGCGTGTGCGTATGTGTGCGTGCGTGTGCATGTGAGTGTGTGTAGGGCCTATTCGCGCGATTGTGTGCGTGCGGGCGTGTGTGTATGTATGTATGTGTGAGCGTGTGCTCGTGTGTGTGCCTGCGCGCGGGCATGCGCATGTGCGTGAGCGCGTGCGTGCGCTTGCCTGCATATGCGTGCGCGTGTGCGTGTGCGTGTGCGTGTGCGTGTGCGTGTGCGTGTGCGTGTGCGTGTGCGTGTGCGTATGCGTGTGCGTATAATTATGTGTGTGCGTGTGTGTCTGTGTGTGTTATAGTGTGTGCTCGTTATAAGCGATACTTTTGTGCCAACTTTTGGGCAATTGTTTGTGTATAACTGCAATCGTGACACATTCTTGGCATTCATGATGCGCTGTCATATTATGGAAACCATCCGATCAAATGTCCGTGCTACAACGTTCCATGCACCTGTCATTTAACGCCATCACAGTGATCTTTCGCACAACGCGATCCTGCATTATATAGTTTCTAGAATGGACGAAACCAATCGTAAAATTTGTATATACAAATTAAACATCGGTGAATACCCTTCATACCTTCCCGGGCCATATTCCTTATTCGACATTCTCTTGTTTTCCCAAACACAATCATGACCGTAGAGATGGCATCAATAGATCCCTTACCTAAGACGTTGGCCTCGGGCAATTGTGCGTCCTGCAGTGAGGTTGATGGAGGGCTATTGGTGGGAGCTGCGAAGAATTTCACATACGGCTGAAGAATGCCGCCTATGATCTCGCACTGAACATCGAAGAGCTGAACACGGTAGCCATTTTGCATGACTGCGATCGTGTTGTAGAATACGCCGTTCTCCGGCAAAATCCACTCAGACGTAGATCTAGGCTCAAACGGATTTATCTGAAATGACATAACATAATACGTTACATGAATTGAATTGAGTTGAAAATTAAGTTGGTGTTGTAAGTGACTTTCTAAATCGTGCTGTACAACGGAGTAGGCTACCATATATGACGAAACTTAACGCTACGAGCGTCGGTACTGTTTACAATCATGCCGGGTCACTGATCGTAACTATACCGTGTCCAATCAAATCTGCTTGTCTATACTCGAACTTCCGATTCGTAATTATTCGAGTTTAATTGCTTCGGAGTTCACTTTCGTGTCTATTTTTTTTCATTTATTTTACATACTGAGCGTTGGTAGAACCACTGCGAGAGCCCTTAGAAGAGGAGAATTTTTTTCCATAAATACTTTGCTACTTCCACCCTGATATACTTTTGAGTTGAGGTTCTATCTCACAGTGAATACGAGTAGATGTTGAACGCAAGAAAGAGTAACGTAAAGCCGGAAGGTAAACATTGTATTGATTCCTGGCGTCGAAGCCTGTATTATGCGACTCCCATATAGGCGGGGTCTCGTGACGGCCATGGATCTCACCCGCACCGTGGTCTCTCGATCGGCGTGGGGGAGCGGCGAATAATGATCAAGTAAATGGCGGCCGCGCGGGATAAACCTGCTGCGCCGATTCTCACACTATAGATGTTTTTTAACGAAACGAATCGTTCAGTACGACCTAATCTGCTCGATACACTGGTCGCACGTTTTCGTGGCGAGCAACCATTTCACCAAATTAGCCACGCTTTGCGCTCAGGCATATGTAAAGTGGTTGTGGTTAGTAAAACCGTGTGAATATCCAGTTAGATTTGGCAAGCCGAACTTGGGGTTCTGCATGATGGAAGAGAAGCCATGCGTGGCCCGTCGTCCCAGTTCCTAATGGGAGGAAATGCAATTTCCCCGTGACGTCACAAGAGCCGCGGTCCCGCGGACACGCCCGCAAATGCAAAACTTGTTTATAATTTTCCCTCTAGACAGACGCCACACATCTCGTCTGACCGAGCACCTGTTTTACGAGGTTGATTCTTGACGACTCCATTTCGTTTTCCAAAAAATGTTCAAATTGGTGTACAGGTGTAGGTAGTAGTAATCTAGTTAATATAGGCGATTATCATTGATTGTCGGTGTGACTGGTTAAATGCACTACGATTTGACGGATCATTCGAGTTCGGAAAGTCTAAACCGGCCGTACTGATGCGTTGCTATAAAGAGTTATTCTCACATGTTGTCTTATTAACTGTACAGTAATTGACCTTCTGTGGCTTAATATAAATGGCAGTGACGGGAGCCGCCGACCATTCGAGTTCTGAAAAGTCTAAAACGGTCTTACTGATGCGTTGCTATAAAGAGTTATTCTCACATGTGGTCTTATTAACTGTACAGTAACTGATCTTCTGTGGCTTAATATAATGGCAGTGACGGGAGCCGCCGCTTCCTGATTTTCTCGGGAAGCAGGGCTTGGCGTAGGTACATCAGATGACGTCGTGTCGACCTGGGTGACTACAACTCTATATTGGCAGTATATAAGTCGCATTGCCGAGGCGGGGATTACAGCCTACATTAGCTCTAGTACTGTAGTGTAAGCGGCCCACCCCCCGTGGTTGCACCCCGGCCGGTTGCACCCGAAGCGCATTGCTGAGTCGGTGGTTTACAGCCTACATGTGACTTCGCTATAGAGATCGTATTATACATATATTATACATATGTATAATGGGATCTCTCGCCCTCCCTAATAAACGTCAGCGCTCACATAATGCCGAGTATCCCGGCTTGTGTCGCGTTGCTAATATAGTAGTATAGTAGCTGTTAGCTGCTAGTAGCTGCTATATTGCTAGTAGTCGCGCTGCTATAGTAGTCTATTTCTATGCTCGCCTGATTACTGCGGCAGGCGTTCGTTAGGTGCTTGTCATGCAATAAAAGCAATACCTCACGACAAATCTGGCCCACATGGATTATGTGTTTGAGCGCGTACGCGCGTGTATGTGCGTGCGTGCGTACGCGCGCGCGCGCGTGTGCGATAGATCGTACGTGTGTGTGTGTGTGTGTGTGTGTGTGTGTTGTGTGTGTGTGTGTGTGTGTGTGTGTTCGTTCGTGCGTGCGTGTGTATGCGTGCGTGTGTACATGATTGCGTTATGCGATCTGACAGTGATCATTATCTATTTCGGTTCAATAACCGCGGAGGCAGTTCATGCGTGGTGGAACGGGCAAGGGCACGAAGACAATTTATCAGTGAAAGTTCTATGCGATTAGACGGACTCCATATGGGTGCTCATGCAGAATACGCAGGAGAGCAACACTTTAGTGTCTACTTCTTTCTCTAACTGGAAAATTCTACACAACACTCTACAGATGACTCCGAATTTGGTATGTTAGGGCCTCTTCATCCAACTACACATTTCTACTTTAACTACAGATCCACTGGCGCGTATACAGTCGCAACATCGTTCGCACACATTGAGATAACATCAAGACATGTTATAGAAGAAAGTAGGGGTAACCATTGCGCGAAAACCTGCAAGAACAATTAATATACAAATAATAACATATGTTGTAACAGCTACTTCTGTTCGAGGGATGATGGAGCGAACATCCACTTACCGCTGATGTGAACTCCATACTGCACGATTTGAGCGGAATGAAGAGTGTGACGGAGGCGTCTGAGTTGTACTTCCTCACTCACTCGTCACCTCACATTCAGGTCCAGTTCGGGTAGCAGTCTGGATCATTCCTGAAGTCTTGCGTCACCAAAGTGCACGCTCACCGTCATGTGTTCATCTACCAGGCTGCAGGAGCCAGTGATGCCTAACAAACGATAGATGTCTGGTCAATACATGCGATGATATAGCTGTGTCTTGTTCGAATGTTATGACTAGTTCGTGGAATATAGCATATAATATGTCATTCATCACACACACACACACACACACACACCACACACACACACACACACACACACACACACACACACACACACACACACACACACACACACACACACACACACACACACACACACACACACACACACCACACACACAACACACACACACACACACACACACACACACACACACACGGCGCTGGAGATTTTGCAATTATTACACTAAAATGGAGCGATCTGCTGCATACCTGAGGTGAAATTCTTGCAAATTTTCAAATGGAAAAATTATTTATATTTATTTTTTGCTCGGGGTGGGGGGTACGTGCGGCTGTATATAATATATATATATATATATGTGTAGTGTGTGTGTGTGTGTGTAGTGTGTGTGTGTGCTGTGTGTGTGTGTGTGTGGTGTGTGGTGTGATGTGTGTGTGTATGCGTGCGTGCGTGCGCGCGCGTGCGTGCGTGTGTGTGTGTGTGTGTGTGTGTTGTGTGTGTGTGTGTGTGTGTGACGACGAGCTGGGGTTGTGGGTGTGTGTGTGTGTGTGTGTGTGTGTGTGTGTGTGTGTTGTGTTGTGGTGTGTGTGTGTGTGTGTGTGTGTGTGTGGTGTGTGTGTGTGTGTGTGTGTGTGTGTGTGTGTGTGTGTGTGATGTGTGTGTGTGTGGTGTGTGTGTGTGTGTGTGTGTGTGTGTGTGTGGTGTGTGTGTGTGTGTGTGTGTGTGTGTGTGTTGTGTGTGTGTGTGTGTGTGTGTGTGTGTGTGTGTGTGTGTGTGGAAGCCGTCCGCTATTCCATTTTACTACACGCTTGATAAGGACAATATAATTAACATGATTCGATAATAATTGCTATATATCTATATAGAGCTATATAGAGCTGTTATCACAAACGTTTTAGTAGCAATATCAGTCTTGGATGTAGTTTGTCTATTTATAATAATAGCAAGTCTAGTAATCATGGTCGTAAAACCGTGATTGTTATTCACACGATTCCTTGAATCCCAACTCGGATAGAATTAACGGCTAGTCTAGCGACTCCAGCTCTCTATGAGCCTTCTAATTATAACCGCTATCTATCAACACACCCATTACTTTCGACCACGTCCTCCTTGATGGTCGCGGGAGTGCGTGGATGTCATAAGCGACACTGCTAACTCCCCGCGTTGTTGATTCTCGGCTGAAACCCGCGATCGCGCGTTGGGCGTCTGCCAGAGCGATGCCGTCGTGCTTGGAGCGGAAACCCCGCAGGGCTTCAGTTTCCTACTGTGAACGAACGCTGCCGCCATGCGTCCCGCGCCGTGAGTCAAACGGCAGCTCGTGTGATTCCGCGGGGAGTAAGCTCGCGATGTCAATGTTTCCCGCGTCCTCCGTGCGCTCGTAGTAGGCTGCCAGCCCGTCGATAGCCAGCCTGTGCTCGAACCTAACCAAAATCCGTGTTACGAAATTTTATTATTGCTGTCTGCTCTGTCTGACTGTCTCACCGACTACTGGCTGATTGCATGGACGACTGTGTATAGGTTATCATCAGTTTGTGCGTTACGGGGAGAAGTCCTATTTTTAAGGATAACAACAAGAGCCTAATAATACCGTAATAAGAGGTATTATTAGCTCTTGATAACAAGACAAAAAACAGAAGAGGCGAGCTTAGACCGCGAATGTAGAAGTAGATTCCGATACGCGAACAAACGCCACAGCGGAACTGTCTAAGTATAGTGTAGAAGCCTAGATGACTTACCGTTGCCTGCGCATAACACCATCAAAGTCGTTATATAAATCATGGTACCAAGCGCCATTCTGCGTTCATATGATAGACACTGAGCAATGTCTTTCGGGAACGTCGGGATACCAGATACTACCGAATTTGCACATGACTGGCGACTCTTCACACAATGAGTAGAGAACTCGAAATAAACGTGATACATGGCGCGAATACGTGCCAGCAACTGTTTCAAAATTACTCGACACGTTAAGCGAGAGTTTTTTTCTTCAGACGCGGCGTATCAACGCAGACATTATAACGAGAAATATGCGGAAGTTTTATTCCCTTTCGATTCTTAGATTTGTATCTTATTCCGTTGAACAATGCGCGACAAAAGGGCATACGGCGTGAATGCCATGGACGCAGCATTCATTTCGCCCTTATCCACCACGGGCGCGATCTGATAAAGAAATCCGATGCTATCTCACGTAGTTTTCGGTGCACCGATGTTTCGCGTGGTATGGTTTTGAAAGAGCATGCGTGAGTGCATGGGTAAAATGGCCGGAACCGATGTGAAGTGGATTGGTGATGTGCGCGTGAGGCATATGAAAGTGAAAAGATTTGTGCGAAGCGGGTGTATGAGAAAAGCTAACATTAGTCGTAACATTTACTTTCTCTCGTAGACCGCATCTCTATATACGACGTATAGGGTCTATTAGAAAATAGCGTAGAAATTACAATGTTCTCTGAGAAAAATCTATTGTTAGCACGCAGGACTATTTATTATTTTGACAAAGGGACTCTTCCTCTTCTTCCAAAGGGGCATTTTTCCTCTGGAATGCCTTCATATTATTGTATGTGCACGCACGCGTGTACGTACGCGCATGCGTGTACGTCGCGCATGCACGTATACGCACGCACGCGTATATGTGCGCGCACGCGTGTACGTACACGCATGCGCGCATATACACACATGCGCGCACGTACACTGCGTGCGCGCACATATACGCGTGTGTGCATATACGCGCATACGCGCACGTACACGCATGCGCGCACTTACACGCGTGCGTGCACATAACGCGCTGAGCCACGCCTGCAAACCTGAGGAACGCGGAGGCTGATTATAGCTTGCAAGAAATCACGTTTGCACGTAGAACGATCGACGCGGAAATTGTAACTGATGGCCATCATAACCATAGAAAAATAAATTAATTACATTTCCTGTATTTTTATCTGTCTAACATTATGTTAATTGATTTACCAACGAGTCTTGTAACCTGTTTCTGGAGATTATATCATAAAAAAGAGTGCAGCTAATATCAGTGGGGAGTATAATTACCTTAATTACGAATTAATAATACCTTAATTCGTATAATGCCAAACTACTGTATATATATTATATATATGTAATTATATATGCGTGTGCATGTGTGTGTATATATTGTGTGTTGTGTGTGTGGGTGGATGCGTGCGTGCGTGCGTGTTGCGTGCGTGGCGTGTGCGTGCGCGTGCGCGTGCGCGTGCGCGTGTGTGTGGTGATATATATATATACAGGAGGGAATAATAGAGAATCTCTATTATTCACTCCTGATATATATATATATATATATAGATATCAGGAGTAGATACTTCTGATATATATATATATAGCTTTTATTATAGTATATATATACTACCGCAGGCCGTAGCCAGCTTTATATTGGGGGGGGTTCCATTTTTAATGTTGGCAATTTGCTCGGCAGGGTCGTGTACAGGATTTGTACCAGGGGAGTGTAACCGTAACCCAAAGTTGCGAACACGCGAAGGGGGGGGGGTCTGGAATTTTTATTAAATTTTTATTTTAAATTACACCCCCTCAGATGCGTTTTCTGCGCGAGCAAGGGGGGGGTCCGGACTCCCTGGACCCCCCCTGTACACGCCCCTGCTCGGGCGCGAAGCGACCAGGCGAGGGAGCCAAGCGACCAAGCGGGGGAGGGCGTGGGAGGGGGGTGTTCACTGTTCACCCTCCCGCACGATGGAGATTTTGCAATTATTACACTAAAATGGAGCGACCTGAGGTGAAATTCTTGCAAATTTTCAACAAAAATTTTTTTTGGGCTTGGTGGGAGGGGGCTCGGGGGGCGTTCGTTCGAACCCCCCAAACCCCCCCTGGCTACGGGCCTGCTACCGGGGCTGTACCTGTACGCTGCATGCACGTACCTGTTCAAATTTTGATGATTGAATATAAAGCAATTAACACATAAAAACTAAATTTTTTTACATGTTATTTATTTCCCAGCTAAGATTCTTAATTTCTATGGAATCTGTCTAAAATTATTGTCAACAAAACAAGGGGGGTAATGGGAAACGCACCTAATGCCAGGTGGCGGTATTGCATCCGGTGCTAGATCCGGTACTGATAACATCATATCTTTATCTTGTCATGGTAATATATAGGTATAATGTAATAGTAATACGAAGCGAGCCGAATGAATCTAGCTAGCATCAAAATGCCCACACCTGTGATAACGAGACTTCCAGACGAGTTGGTTGAACATATTCTGTCATTCGTTCCAGGTACATGTAGCGTAACGGATAGTGTATCATGCAATGAGCCAATGATGCATATATATTGATATAACCAAGATATAACTATAAGATTACTGTCAGTGTCATGTCATGACTCTCATGCATGTCATGACATCAGGAGTGAATAATAGAGATCGCTATTATTCACTTCTGTTGACAAGTAATGATGTATACCATAGTATGAATCATGATATAACGGTAATTAACCTGCCTAATATAGTATATAATTATATATACTAAAATATAGCCAGTCCTCCGGGTTGGGGCATTCCCGGCCCATGGATGTGCTGTCCACATGTCATTTAGCTTCGCACATTTGCACATGTCTGATGTCGTACATTGCTAAAATGAATTGTGGTCAGCGCCCATGAACCGCACTCTACAAGATAGGGTAGGTATGACAGTATCAGTATGGCTGAGAGGGTCTATGTCCCTCGGGGTACTGCCGGAAGGTACCCTGCGTAGGGTCCGGTATACCGGAATGTACCCTGGTACTATCTAATATGCCGGACCGTACCTCTCCTACTGCACTAACGAGTCTAGGGAGTCGCCTACGCCTACTCCCTAACCCTAACCCTAACCCTAACCCTATCCCTAACCCTAACCCTAACCTTAATCATAACCCTAACCATATCAAATAGTGACCAGGGTACGTTTCGGTATACCGGACCGTACCCAGGGTATGTTCCGGCAGTACCCTGGGGGGCATAGACCCTATGAGCATCAGTATGTGCCACCTGAGGCTGAGAGTGAGAGATGGGATTAGGGAGCTCCCGTAGTAACTCAGCACATAAAAATGGGGGTCTCTAGAACTAGCAGGGATGAGAATCTCCTGCGGATCTGCAATTTCCTTTGTTTTTCACTTTCGATAATTATAAATTTTCCAAATCGTTCAAGTCCGTTGAGAAAACTATAGGCTGGGGACGGGTGTACTGCCACCCACGGACAGTGGAAAAATGTCCCGCGGCTAGTGATGCTCTTTTACCGTCTGAGCTCGCCATCCCGCAGCCGACAAATGTAGGCCTACTATTCATTCGCGCACTGCGCGGCAATGCGCGCGCAATGGCGGCATTCATTAACAAGCTAGTTTTAGAAATTTCTGTGCCTCATAACGCGTCTGAAAGCATCTAATTTATAACATTTTTCTGGGGGAGGACCCCCCTGACCCCTCAAAAGTGCTTAGCACCTGCGGTGCTTGCAATATAGCGCTTTGAGCTATTCTACCAGTAAGTAGAAATATATCCCGTGGATTTTGTCCGAGGCCATTCTCAACTCTGAACTAGGGTTTGCTGGAAAGCATGATGCTCTGAAACTGGATATGTTTGCAAGAGGGGTTGTCCAGAACTGGACATGTTGGTAAGAAGGGGTCTCCGGAACTGGCCATGTTTGGAAGAGGGGGTCTTCAGAACTAGGATATGCTTGAAAAAGAAGTCTCCAGAATTCAAATTGACGATCTTAAATGGTAACCAGCCATAGTGCGGTATATATAATATTAGTACATATACCGTGAGTGTGGTGCTGCCATGGTATGTGTGTCGCATGCACATATGTGTCACTGCTTTAGCTCATCTGACATAGTCAGATGCAGCTTGTAGAATCGCTTGATCGTCCGTCCGTGCGTTCGTGCGTCCGTGCGTCCGTCAACAGTTGGGCACAAATCTTAACCGCTCGACGTACGGTCACGATATTTGGCACATTGGGGGGGATCGTCAAAACGAGTTGGGATGTTGAAGCTAGGGGTCAAAGGTACTCAATGACGTCGTGTTCGAGCCATGGTGACTACAACTCTATATTGGCAGTATATAAGTCGCATTGCCGAGTCGGGGATTACAGCCTACATTAGCTTAGTACTGTAGTGTAAGCGGCCCACCCCCCCAGTGGTTAGCACCCCGGCCGGTTGCACCCGAAGCGCATTGCTGAGTCGGTGGTTACAGCCTACATGTGACTCTCTATAGAGATCGTATATACATATATTATACATATGTATAATGGGATCTCTCGCCCTCCTAATAAGTCAGCCGCTCACATAATGGCCGAGTATCCCGGCTTGTGTCGCGTTGCTAGTATAGTAGCTAATATAGCTGTTAGCTGCTAGTAGCTGCTAGTAGTTGCTAGTAGTCGCGCTGCCTATAGTAGTTCTATTTCTATGCTCGGCCTTGATTACTGCGGCAGGCGTTCGTTAGGTGCTTGTCATGCCAATAAAGCAGATACCTCACGACAAATCTGGCCCACTATGGATTATGTGTTTTGAGCGCGTACGCGCGTGTATGTGCGTGCGTGCGTACGCGCGCGCGCGCGGTGTGCGATGAGAGTCGTACGTGTGGTGTGTGTGTGTGTGGTGTGTGTGTGTGTGTGTGTGTGTGTGTGTGTGTGTTCGTTCGTGCGTGCGTGTGTATGGCGTGCGTGTTACATGATTGCGTTATGCGATCTGACAGTGATCATTATCTATTTCGGGTTCAAATAACCCGCGGAGGCAGTTCATGCGTTGGTGGAACGGGCAAGGGCACGAAGACAATTTATCAGTGAAAGTTCTATGCGATTAGACGGACTCCATATGGGTGCTCATGCAGAATACGCAGGAGAGCAACACTTAGTGTCTACTTCTTTCTCTAACTGGAAAATTCTACACAACACTCTATCACAGACTCCGAATTTGTATGTTAGGGCCTCTTCTCCAACTACACATTTCTACTTTAACTACAGATCCACTGGCCGTATACAGTCGCAACATCGTTCGCACACATTGAGAGAATAACATCAAGACATGTTATAGAAGAAAGTAGGGGTAACCATTGCGCGAAAACCTGCAAGAACAATTAATATACAAAATAATAACATATGTTGTAACAGCTACTTCTGTTCGAGGATGATGGAGCGAAACATCACTTACCGCTGATGTGAACTCCATACTGCACGATTTGAGCGGAATGAAGAGTGTGACGGAGGCGTCTGAGTTGTACTTCCTCGACTCACTCGTCACCTCACATTCAGGTCCAGTTCGGGTAGCAGTCTGGATCATTCCAGTGAAGTCTCTGTCACCAAAGTGCACACCTCACCGTCATGTGTTCATCTACCAGGCTGCAGGAGCCAGTGATGCCTAACAAACGTAGATGTCTGGTCAATACATGCGATGATATAGCTGTGTCTTGTTCGAATGTTATGACTAGTTCGTGAATATAGCATATAATATGTCATTCATCACACACACACACACACACACACACACACACACACACACACACACACACACAACACACACACACACACACACACACACACACACACACACACACACACACACACACACACACACACACACACACACACACACACACACACACACACACACACACACACACACACACACGGCGCTCTGGAGATTTTGCAATTATTACACTAAAATGGAGCGATCTGCTGCATACCTGAGGTGAAATTCTTGCAAATTTTCAAATGGAAATAATTATTTAATTTATTTTTGCTCGGTGGGGGGTAACGTGCGGCTGTATATATATTATATATATATATATATGTGTGTGTGTGTGTGTGTGTGTGTATGTGTGTGTGTGCTGTGTGTGTGGTGTGTGTGTGTGTGTTTGGTGTGTGTGTGTGTGTATGCGATGCGTGCGTGCGCGGCGCGTGCGATGCGTGTGTGTGTGTGGTGTGTGTGTTGTGTGTGTGTGTGTGTGTGTGTGTGTGGTGTGTGTGTGTGTGTGTGTGTGTGTGTGTGTGGTTGTGTGTGTGTGGCTGTGTGTGTGTGTGTGGTGTGTGTGTGTGTGGTGTGTGTGTGTGTGTGTGTGTGTGTGTGTGTGTTGATGTGTGTGTGTGTGTGTGTGTGTGTGTGTGTGTGTGTGTGTGTGTGTGTGTGTGTGTGTGTGTGTGTGTGTGTTGTGTGTGTGTGTGTGTGTGTTGTGTGTGTGTGTGTGTGCTGTGTGGAAGCCGCGTCCTATTCCATTTTACTACACGCTATGGATAACTATAATTAACATGATTCGATAATAATTGCTATATATCTATATAGAGCTATATAGAGAGCTGTTATCACAAACGTTTTAGTAGCAATATCAGTCTTGGATGTAGTTTGTCTATTTATAATAATAGCAAGTCTAGTAATCATGTGTCGTAAAACCGTGATGTTATTCACACCGATTCCTTGAATCCCAACTCGGATAGAATTAACGGCTAGTCTAGCTGACTCCAGCTCTCTATGAGCCTTCTAATTAAACGCTATCTATCAACACACCCATTACTTCGACCACGTCCTCCTTGATGGTCGCGGGAGTGCGTGGATGTCATAAGCGACACTGCTAACTCCCCGTTCGTTGATTCTCGGCTGAAACCCGCGATCGCGCGTTGGGCGTCTGCCAGACGCGATGCCGTCGTGCTTGGAGCGGAAACCCCGCAGGCTTCAGTTTCCTACTGTGAACGAAACTGCCGGCCATGCGTCCCGCGCCGTGAGTCAAACGGCAGCTCGTGTGATTCCGCGGGGGAGTAAGCTCCGGATGTCAATGTTTCCCGCGTCCTCCGCTGGCGCTCGTAGTAGGGCTGCCAGCCCGTCGATAGCCAGCCTGTGCTCGAACCTAACCAAAATCCGTGTTACGAAATTTTATTATTGCTGTCTGCTCTGTCTGACTGTCTCACCGACTACTGGCTGATTGCATGGACGACTGCTGTATAGGTTATCATCAGTTTGTGGTTACGGGGCAGAAGTCCTATTTTTAAGGATAACAACAAGAGCCTAATAATACCGTAATAAGAGGTATTATTAGCTCTTGATAACAAAGACAAAAACAGAAGAGGCGAGCTTAGACCGCGAATGTAGAAGTAGATTCCGATACGCGAACAAACGCCACAGCGGAGACTGTCTAAGTATAGTGTAGAAGCCTAGATGACTTACCGTTGCTGCGCATAACACCATCAAAGTCGTTATATAAATCATGGTACCAAGCGCCATTCTGCGTTCATATGATAGACACTGAGCAATGTCTTCG